TGTATATATATGTATATATATATATATATATATATCTGAAGAATCTCAGTGTCAATAGTTATTCTTCAGTTCCTTCTCAATCCCGGAGTCTCGGATTTGACTGGTTCATTCCGTTTGTATCGTAAAGATGTGCTTGCCAAACTTATTCATGAAAGCGTTAGTAAAGGATACGTTTTCCAAGTGAGATTCGCCTTTGTCTTACTTTAGACATGCCATAATTTGTCATTTTAAGATGGAGATGATGTTCCGAGCAAGCAAAGCTGGTTACAAAATAGGCGAGGTTCCCATCACGTTTGTGGATCGCTTCTTTGGCGAGTCCAAATTAGGAAGTCAGGAGATCATTGGCTACGTGAAAGGACTGATGTACCTGTTCTTCTGCGTTAATTAGTATCACTCTTTCGATCTACAAGCGCATCATCAATTCATTAAGCTTTAGCTCTAAGCACTCTTATATATTTATACTATACAATTTCATCTTTGGAATTTTCGCGTTTTTTAAATTATTGTTATGGGGAATTCTACGTGTTGTTGCAGATGTGATATTTTAAAATAAATGTCTTTATATTAGTTGTTATTTTTTTTATCTCTACCATTTCAAATAAATTCGATGCTACAAACCGCAAGGTGATTGAAACAAGCGAGAATTGATCCTGTGGCGGTATGATGAACAGTGGTTGCCAGGAGGAGTTGCCACTGCAGATGTACAAAACCTTTGAGAAGAACTTTTATTAATTACTTACTTAGATACTTAGATAGCCTGTCTTCACTTGTCGTGCAGGCCACAGCACTGTTTCCATCCGTTTCTGTTCGCTAGCGTCATCTACGATGTTGGTATTGAACTGCGGCGGCGACATTCGCGAGATCCAGATCTATTACTCGTTACCAGCTGAGAATTCAGCTGTCTATTCGTGCAACGAACATGTCAGCCTATCTGCCGGTGGCCTCCCTCGAGGACGTTTTGCTTCGCGAGGAATCCATTTTAGAGTTCTTAGTGTCCATCTGTCTCTGTCCTCATTATATGACCAGCCCATCGATGTTTTTGCATTAGAGACGTATTCCAAGATGAGACAATGATCTCAAATCTGAGCTGCGAAGTCCAACGAGATATTGAGTGCGTCGGTTGTGCTTCAGAAGA